TATGATACACCTGGAGTGCAGTCCTGTGTAACTTTAGATTATAGTTCACAGATTACAGTTAAAGCCACAGTTGTCATAGTGGCACAAATTATAAAGGTATAGTTTCATTTATTTGTTTTTATTTGTATGTGTGGTGTCTTAAATATCACTAATAATAAAGACAGTTTACTATCTGCTTCTATGGGCTGTTATTTTTTTTTCCCCCTTAGTTTGTCTAATCTCTGTATATAACCTTTCTCGGACCCTAACTTTACACAGGGTATTTGTCTGACTGGACATGGACAACTTTAGGGAGGCATTATTCTGTTGACCACAGTGATATATTACCATCTCTAAATCAGTCTTCTTTCTTCCTAACTTCCTTCTTCTTCCCTCCTTCCTTCTTTTAATTACCAGCCCAACAAAAGGGCTCTCTATGCAATGTAAATTAGCTTGAGGCTGAACAGGAGTCACAGGCAAGGCTTTATTGGGGCTCATGTTTGAACACAAGGGTGACAGCACAAAGGAAAAATCCTCAGGCTGCTCCCCAAGGGGAGTTCAGGGACAGTTGTAAAGAGGCTTAGGCAGGAAAAGGGCAACCATCTGCACGTGGAGGTGGAGATTTTCTTGCGCCTGTCTAGTACTATTACATGCTTCTTCATTGGTCCTGTGTCTCATTAGCATGTTAAATCTCTACCCTTGAGCATAATTTTTAGCATTAAAGTGAGGAAAAAGGTCTATGGACAGTCAGTTTTCAGCAGCAACCAGTCTGTGCTGGCTTTAACTGGGACCTATGGACCCCTGCTCCAACGGTTGCCACATCCTGTTAAAGAAAGCAGAACTACCTTCTACTGAAGTTAGGTACTAGTCATTTTCAAGACTTGTTCAGTGTTATAAGCAGACTTAAGCTTTGGCCCAAGGCTCAGGCAGGTAGCCGAAGTCCACCTCCTATACTATCTCACTTTTCATTTCTTCCTTCTTTACTTCCCTTCCTTTGTTCCTTTCTTCCTTCCTCCTTACTTTTCAATCATAGATGTCATGGAACGCCTTGAATAGGATCCTGCTTTGGCTCAGCCAAAAAAAGCATAGGGAATTTTTGGCCAAAACTGTAAAATTTAAAGAATCTCTATCAATAACAGACTCTGAACTTAGGCAAAAAATATATCAGACTTACAGGGCACAGTACATGCAGGACATCATTTTGCCTTTGCCATCCATTTTTGAAGTTCTTCTGAACTACCTATATATTCTTTTATCTCTTTTAATGAAGGTCTACACTTAATGCGTCACTCTGGTAAAGGGGCCTATAGCTCAAATAGTAATCAAAGATAGCTGAGTAGACTTCAGGAATTCTTTGCAGATTGCCTATTTACATATCAAAGCATCATAATTATCTGTATCAAAAGCACCTTGATGCTCAGTTACACTTGGGCATTTTCCCCTGTCAGTCTGTCTTTAGCCTGTATGCACATATTCTGGTTTTGTATTTGCTTTGCATTTCTTGCTGTTAAAATCTAGTCTGATTTTCATGGCTACTTTAGGCTTATTTTAAATATCCTATTATATTTTTGAGGTGTTAAAATCTTCTACCAGTTTGCGTGTTCTGAAAATTTACTCTTAATTTCATAATTCAAGTTATTGATTAAAAAATTAAATACTGGCTCCAGAACAGACACATATATAGGAATCAATGAATGTGCCATGCACATCACTGATCTATTAGCTATTTTTTCTTGCAGTAATAGTTGCTGTCAGGATATTGTACCTGCCCTCAAAGGCTTTATAATTTAAAAGACAGTATAAGATAAAAAGAAAACAAATATATCCAGTTACAGAAATTCTGTCAGATTGTGTAGTGTAAGTTCATCTCTGGAGCTAAATGATGAGTGGGAAAGCTTTCTGCAGGAGGAGACTTATAAAGTTGTTATGTTCTAAATA